TAGCCCTACTTTTGCTGAATAAAATGATATATTTTTTATCGTAATTTATTTAAAGAGAAGTTGAGAAATATTAATTATCAAAATTCGTGAGCTACATTGCTGATCATTTCCCGATTCCAAACTTTTATCCAGTGTACATGTATAAGCAAAAAGGCAAATCGTTGGTGGATCGTGTCCCGTTATGGGATAGTCAGGAATTAAGGAATTATCTGGAGATCGGCGAATTTAATAACATGATCAATAAATATCGATATAAACGAAAGAATAATTATTCGTTACCATTCACATAAAAAATTTAGCGTCAGCTTCACCACCTAAAGAAAACTAAAATTTTCGATTTAGTGGCTTTAATTTTAAGGCTTAATGATCGCCGATTTTGAAGCTGCGCCATTAACTCCAAATACAGGTATTAAATAAATTTAGAAATACTGATACTATGCATATACATGTAGATATAACGATAACATAACAAGTTGATTAACAACAATTATTATAAATGTAGTTATCTTGTTAAAAATACATGTACATGTATATAGATTTTGACTTTTTATTTTCAAAATTTTACGGCTTGTAAATAACAAAATTAACAAGGGCACATCTTCAAAACCAAATTTCACATCATGATTCTCAAGTATTTTTTGTGTTTGACAATTTTAGTGATGTATTCAAGAATAATATACACTTTAGACTATTCTAATGTTTCATACATCGAAAACCAAGATAACCTTATAATTTTCGATAGTTACACTGATACTCACGGAACAATAGTAATGCGTATGGTGAAAAATAATAGCATTGAACAATGCAATGTACCCGGAGGACCGAGCATGCATCTACGACTTGTTTTCTCGAATGGAACTGTTCGTCCACTAGATTTCGAATTTCCTGTGAATAAATGGAATTATTGTCCGACTGACTGGATTTATGTGCTTTTGATCGATCCAAATCTTATTCTGTTGAATTATTTTAATTTCTCGGATATCGAACCTGCAAAGGATGGTGTTTATCAAGAGAATGGTGTTTTTGTAGATTATTGGGGAAATATTAAAAAGTAAATTTTGTTATAATATTTACTTTTAATTGGATCTTAATTATTTACATGTATTAATATTACTAATGTATGTAATTAGTACTTTTCGGCTTGGTTTTGGATCACCGTACAGCAGAAGAGTTACAGCTGGATTTATTCCTTCAGATGGGATATTAAGAACATACCTACTACCTAATGGGAGTATAGGATGGAACAGATTCACAAACCCGTAAATAACTTATCAATTTAATTTCAATGTTTTCTTGGTTCAATTCCTTTTATTTATTTATTTATTTATTTCTAAAGTGATGAAAACGGCCAACTATCGGATAATGGGGTAGGTTTATTCTACAACAAATCCAAAAATGAAAATATCACCGACAGTAGAGCATTCAATTTAATTGATGGAGGATTTGGCTGCGTTATGGTCGTCCAATCGATGACTCAAAGTATGGTGGACTTGCATGATTCTTTTGCGCAATGGAATGTATATATATCATTTTTGAGATCTGGCAGCTCGAGTGCAACACAACCTTTTATTTATTATCAGACACCATTACAATTCACAAACCTGGATGTTACACGATGCGCAATAATATTTGATGGAACTGGAAATGAATGTCTTATGACAACATCCATGAATCGGAATATATCTATAGAAGCTCAGAATAATACTACAACGTATACAAATATCACAGTTGGTAATAATTCTAATAATTCGAGCACAGATAACACAACATTAATAGATCCGAATAAACCTGTTATAACGATTTCAAGTATTCATTTTGGAAGTCAAGGCCTTGTGACTGCCATTCAAATATTAGATGTTGATAGTCAAATCAGAGTTTTTGATTTCTTATATCCACTTTTCTATGGTGGATATGCTACATCGGGAACAGTAAATGATACAACACGTGGTGATATGCTGGATAGTTTTGGCAGTTCAATAGAACAATGGAGTTTTGAAACATTTACGAATCATTCAAATATGTTTCCTTTGACGAATACTATATGGGCTGCAAAAAAAGACTCACTAGCAGCTAGAAATTGGACGATATTTACAAAAAAATTTCCAAAACTAAAAGCTGCAAGTAAGTTTATTGTTTACGATAAACTTTTTTGTTCTTTTTCGATTTTACTTATGTAAATAATTTAGATGCTGATGATCGTTATCGAAATCCAAATATCGACACAACATTTCCAACAATTGGAGCTGTTATTCCATCTAATATAACACAAATATGCATCACCTATGACGAACCTGTCTTTTTGTCATCTGGTAATATCACTATATATCAAGAAGGCCAATCTGGATCAGTTGATATTTTTCGTCAAGGAGTAAATCAATTGTCGCAAAATTTCCAAATTACCATCCAAGATAAAAACGTCTCGATTCCTGTTTTGGACTCTACTTTTAATGTTCCAAATGCTACTTATTATGTGATTGTTGATACAAATTTCGTTCGAAACTCTGATACTGGTGAAGCATTACTTGGAATGAACAAAGAAAGTTGGCGATTTACTACCGGTAAAAATGAATTTGATTGTCTATTTTGTCTCTATAGCCATTATTATATAAAACTTATTTCTCTTTTAGAACCATTTAAAACTGGTGGAGTTGATAAAGGTATTCATTTATTATTTGAGAATAAATTTAATTGCTGATTTATTATATAAATATTCGATTATAGGTGCTAATAGACAATCGGGAATAATTCGATTAACACCTGAGGCTACAATAATATTTAAGAACTTATCAAAGAGTAATTCTTCCGTATATGAAGATATGTTGAATGAGCTCGCAAGTGCTATTCCAATCTCACGCAAAAGACTCGACATAAAGAAAAAATATCAAATTATTGATGATCAAATTCTTCTCCGGATAACCGTTCTACCTTCAGAAAATGATTACGAAAACAGCGTAAAAAAGGTTGTGAGTAACTTAAAAACTCTCATCAAATATAAAGATATCACGTCTTTTTCAAGATATAATTATACCGATTGGCTGGATAGTAGTTATGGTTTCCAGGAAACAAGTAAATAATATTTTAGAGTTCTTACTTTAGTACATTTATTGAGTCTATTGTAAGTTAATATTTTTTTTACAAGGTGATATATGGGCGAAGTATAAAGTTATGTTTATTATAGCAATCGTTGACCTTTTTTTTATTGCTATTGTATATTTTATGGCATGGCGTAAGAATAAAAAGGTAAGTTTAAACTTCTTGTTTCATATGTGATACCTTCTGTAGTATTTTCTGAGTATGCAATCTTTTTTGTAAATCCCATCAAATAGGGTCAAAATATTGTCATTATTACAAGTGCATTGATTCTACAAGATATTATTTTCGATTTTGCATTTGTAATATTTAATAGTAAAGACGTATCAGGACTTTTTATTCCCAGGTATATCCTTTATAATTTAAATTTTTTTTTGATTGACAAATACTTATATAATTACATAACCCCCCCCCCCCCCCCAGTTTGCTCACACTAATAATTCCGATAGTCATGAATTGTGCCGTTGCTTTCTATATAATACTCTCGGAAAATTCACGAAACGACAAGTTTAATTCCTGGTTTCGAAAGTATCCACAAATTGCTGCAGCGTCCACTTTGTTCGCGAGTGGCGATATCGTTATATTGCGTGTACTTACTTCTCAAGTAGGCGGCCTGCAAATCTTTTCTGCAACGTTTTCTGAACGTGCCGAGACCGTTATATTTATAACGAGCATGTTGAATTTGCTTATTGAGGATATTCCACAGTTTATTATACGGGTAAATAAAGAAATATATTAAGAATTTTGTATTTTTCGTTCATATGCAAAATTAATATGATTTGATGTTTTTTGGCTAGTTGTACTTTTGGCAAAATACTGTCAAATACGATATAATTCCATTGATTGCATTATGGACTAGTGCGTTAATCTTATTGAATACTTTCATTATTCAACTATGTCATTGTGTAATACAATGTCGGAAAGGGCGAGGATTGAATGCCAAGTATAGCGTAGCGAATAGTGGTGATGCAACTGGATCAGAACTCGGTGAGGACAAATATAACATATACATGTAATGGTATTGTCGTTTTATAAAAATTTATTATAAATAGGATTGAACTTCTAAGTTTAGCGTTAGGATATATCAACGTAAAATAATGCTTTTTAAAATAAAAATACATGTAACTATAATTAATAAATAAAAAACCTACACAAAAAACTGTTTTTTTCAATCTATTAATAAGAATTTACCTGCAATTATATTTTTCTTGACCTGTTTATTGAGCAACTTTGGGGAAATAATTGCTGTTCGTAACACATGTAGTTATTGTTTCTATGACTTTATGCAAAGTAATAGTTCTTTCGTTCGTAAACAATTGGAAAAAAAATAAAAGCAAACTAAGAGATAAATTAACTAGCAAAGTATTGAAGTTCTTTGTCAAAAGTAGAAATCACTCAGTACGTTGAAAATTACATTTCTTATCGTTATAGCTATCCATATACGATGCTCAAAAGTATTACATCAATGAAACAAAAAAAATAAAAAGGCAAGTTCCAGTAAATTAAGTTGAAATAAAGCATACCTCCATACATATATAATCGCACTTTATATAATCACAATCACAGGTTTTCCCAATTCCGGATATTCTATGCAGGTATTATTAATAATTATTTCTAATTAATTTCTTTATCTTTTAATAAATTTGTTGAAATTGATCAGTAATATAAAAATATTTGATCTAAATAGACTAGAATGTATTTACAGTCATAACTTCACATACATTCTGCACGGAAAGTAATGGCGGACATGTTTTTCGCCTATAACTTAATAAGAAATTTACGAAAATTTGGCATTATATTCGTTAGGATGACGGAAACAAAATTTTCTAAGGTCACAAAGCGTGTTAACATAGTAATATTTTGTGTAATCACGTGCTAAAGGTGGCGGGCTGGGGACTACCCTGGTTAAAGTGCTATAAAAAATTATTTAAAAATATTTTTATAAGCAAGTATGAAAAAAATTTTATAGAAATATATTTAAAGTAGAAAATATATTTGCAATTTAAAAAAAATTTTAGTTGATATTTATTGAATAAATGCCAGTCAAAAAAGGTTTAATTTTGATGAATTTCATAATAAAATATAATAAAATATAATAAAAATAATATTTTTATTATATTTTACTATATTTTATTATGAAATTCATCAAAATTAAATCTTTTTTTGACTGGTATTTATTTAAATATCAACTAAAATTTTTTTTAAATTACAAATATATTTTTTATATCTTTAAATATATTTTTATAAAATTATTTTCATACTTGCTTATAAAAAATATTCTTCTTCAAAAATTTTAATATTTTTAACTTTAAGAATTGAGTTTATGGTTATGTATGAAACTTTTTCAAAATCTATATCATTGAATCATTTGAGTGAATTATGAATCTGAGTCCAGAGCTTGTCAGATATCCATCATAGAAAATTACAATTATCTAGATTTTGATTTTCAATCTTGAACTCATTATTAGAAGTTTTACTAGAGAATATTTCTGTATCATCATCATTATCTTCAGGTATAGCATTTTATTATCCATGAATGAATTTGATTAACATTTTTTCTTTCTTTCCATTCCAATCAAAGATCATTATATTTTTTTTAGATCAATTTTAATATTGATCTTGTTTAACCAGTCTATTTCTATTACATGACTATAGATTTGAACTTCAGTAATATCCACTTTAGCTAGAATTATGATTCCATCAATAGTAATAGAGAAGTTATTAATAGCACCTAATGATTGTTTGAAATATCCATTAATATCAGACATGAAGATATTAGATTTTCTTTGAATCTTCATTTCTAGTTATTTGAGAAATTCATGGCTGATGACATATTCTGATACTCTAGCATTCACAATCAAGTCTATAGGAGTCTTTTTAACTTTGACTTCACATCAGGCTGAGATTATTTTAATCTTTTAGATAAATATTATTTTTTATTTGAGTTTCTTTTGTGATTTCTTTCTCATTTCTTTTGATATTTAAATTCTTTATTCAGATAAGATCTTGATGAGTTAGACAATAGTAATATTAGCTTTCTGTAATGTCAAATCTTTGAGTATATCATAGGTTTCTGCATATTTAGCTAGAATCAGAAGATGTACTCTTCCTTTTTTTCATTTCTTCTTTTTCAAGTTGGTCTTATCATCTTCAGGTACTTCAAATAAAGGTTGGGTAACTTCATTTTCTTTTTTATTTTCTTCTTTTTCTTTGACAATTCTTTGATATTTTCTTTTTCCAGCTAGATAGATAATTATGAGTTACTAATAACAAGAAACTAGATTAGATAGATAAATCACTAAATAGATCATTATCAGATACTTGTAAAGCAGCTGTTAAATTCTGAATTTGGATGAGAAGGAAAGTAATATCCAGATTTTGTAAATTGTTAGGTTGCTGATTATTATTTTGAGTGTACTGATTTTGCTGATTATTATTATTACTATTATTATTCTGATTCTGATTATTCCAGTTTTGAGAAATATTCTGATTATTAAATGGCTGATTTACTAGTTGAAAGTTATTTAGACAAACTCTACTAATATATTCTTTTCTTTCATAATTATAACAGATAATATCTGATCTGTCTCTTAACTAATTTTATTGCTGATTATTATTATTATTATTATTATTATACCTTCTGTCAGATTCTACATGGTCTAACCTACTGGTCAGATCTTGCAAGATCTTAGCAAGAGCACTCTATTTACCAGTTAGTTGAGCTTGAATTTGATGATAGGTTTGTTTAAGTAGATCTGAATCAGCTTCTTCCACATTTTTGACAGTTTTAATAATACTTTCTATAGTATTATCAGTATTTAGATTAACCCATTTTCAAATTTCAGATTTGAGATCTTTCTTGAAAATTTGAATCTTGTATTCTTTTGAATAGACTTGTTCTGAATCTACTTTACTTCTTAATTCCATGAATTAATTTACATATTCTTCAACTATTCCAGTTTGCTTTAGGAATTCTAATTCATCTTGCTACTGTTGTACCTTATGAGATGAACAGAATTTAAGAATAAATTAGGAAGTGAAATTATATTCATCATGATCTTGATTTATCTATTCATTTAATCTAAGAATGTCACTCATGGATCATTAGTCAAATCAGGCAGCAACTGATCTCTTTAGATATCCTCTTATTATCTTGATTTTTCTGTTATTAGTAATTTTATTAACTTTGATAGCTACTTTAAAGTTATTTAATCATTCAATTAGATCCTGATTATTATCCTTAAATTCATAAATTAGGATAAGAATCTTTTCTATTCTTTAAATTTTCATAGATTAAGTAAGTTCTCCAAGAGCTTGAATAAGACTGTTCATTCTGTCTGATATGGTAATTTCTTCTTTTAGTTGAGTTTTCTGAGGTTAAATTTGTTTGATTGTGACTATTAGTTCTTCAGAATCTTCTGAATCACTACTTTTGTATTCTAATTCTGTTGGTTGATTAATTGAGAGAGTTTTAAAGCTGTCTATTTCTTCAAGAATAAGAAAAATACTGTTGACTAGGTAGATCTGTTATTCAACTATGATTTTAGTTCCAAATACAAATATATTGAGTAACTTGATAATTTCTCTTCAAAGTTAATTTGATATAAGATTTTGCTGTATTATATTATCAAAAAGTTTTTGTAATAATCTGTTATGTAAGATCACGTGATAATTCTGAGTTCAGATAAGAAAATTTACAAATCTTCTGTCTGAATTTTTGTTGATAGAAAAATAGTAAAAGCAGTAGTTGTATGATTCAATATAGGGTGAGAATTTCCAAGAGTCTTCTCTGTTATATTTACTGAGATATAGATCAATTAGGAGTTCAATAAAAGAGTAGTATATACTCATAAACTAATAAATTATTTAGATAATAAATATCTTAAGGATAGTTAACTCTTAAAATAATAAAAATGAGTTAACTGGAACCTCTGGGTGGGTGAGATTCACAGAGAGAATACCAAATATTATAAACTATATTCTGAAAGATAAATTTTATCATGAATATAGTTTATAATAAGTTTTGAGAGTGAAAACTCAATTATTTATAAAGGTTAAGAGAATAATAATTATTCTAAAGATTTTTTAGTACCAATACTTATGAGTATTATATCTGTAATCTTCTAGTTATATAATGTAATATATTCAGATAATTCACATAGAAAAGTCAGAATATAATATTATATCAAGAAAATTCATATAGAAGATTTAAGATATAAGCAATGTTATTTAAAATAAAATTCATACAGAAAACTAAATTAAAAGCAGATAAGAGATTATATTTTAAAACTTATTTTTTATTCAATATATTAATTATTGTTAAAATTATAGAACAGATACAATATCTTTAAATAATAAATTAATATTACATAAAATTAATAATAAGATAAATA